ATGCTGTGCCAATCTACCAATGATAAGTGAAGGTGATAGCTTAGGACTTGGTTTTGGGTGACTTTTATTTTGGGTTGGCACTTTCAAGTGCCACACTTGCTCTTCCTAAAACTAATTTCTATGAGTTTCTTCTACTAGAGGGAAGGATTAAATTCAGTTAGTTAAAAGTAAAAAACAGGGCTTCCCTGGTGGCGCAGTGGTTGAGAGTCCGCCTGCCGATGCAGGGGACACGGGTTCGTGCCCCAGTCCGGGAAGATCCCACATGCCGCGGAGCGGCTGGGCCCGTGAGCCATGGCCGCTGAGCCTGCGCGTCCGGAGCCTGTGCTCCGCAACGGGAGAGGCCACAACGGTGAGAGGCCCGTGTACCGCAAAAAAATAAAAAATAAAATAAAAATAAAAAACATATTTGGAAGGTACCATGAAATAAGAACACTAAAGGTCAAAGCCTGATGAACAGAATCTGATCAGTTAAGCTGTGATGCTTGATGAGCTCTGTCTGAAGTGGAGATGCCAGATTTTACCAAGGTTATTGTTTCACATGAGGCAACTGAATAACAAAATCTCTATCTTCCCATATTCCTCCTAACTCATAACCCCACTTGGTTTCCTACTTGGACTTTCCACCCCTCCCATGTGCTCCTTTCTCCAGGTCAGAGGAAAAAACAAAGTGTGGGCAAAGGAGCACTTGAAAATAAAGAAAAAGCAAAAGCATAACCAAAACTTGCTGGAGAAATGGATTTTCTTTAGGAAATCTGACTGTGGTTCTCTACAGGCAGAGGCAGACCACGTGGATGTGACAGGTGCTGTAGCATCAGAAGCTCCCACGACACTGATCCTTACAAGCCAGGGACATCCTGTCGGACTTCCTAAGCCTTCTAGGAACAGCCATCCTGCTCCCAGCGTTACCAAGAACAGGGCAGGTACCAGTCACAGGAGTGGCTGAAGGTGGAGCAAATGCCCAGGGGCCAAGGGGCCTCAACCACACTCCTCTTACAGGGACCCTGGATCCCTGAGGGCCTGGGTATGTGCGCACTGGTTAACGCCTCCCTGGCCTGGGTCTGGGTCAGGTTTCTTTCTAACATACCTTCAGAGACCACATTCCTTCAGAACTCCTGCCTTAAGTTTTTAACATTCATTAGTATCATACCTGGATTAACACTGTATCCCCCCCTGGACCGTAAACTCCCTGAGAGCAGAGCAGTGCCGGTGGGTACCCTGTAGTGTTGGAAACCACGCCGGCCCATAAAGCCCGCCCACACCTATCTGTTGATGGGAAAGGGGGCAGCATGTCAGGACACATGGAGGAGACATGACTGATTTGACGAGAAGTAATGGTTTTGAACTTGAGCCCCTCCCTGGCACTGTAAAATCCAAATCAGACTTAATCTGAGAATGCACACATCTGAGAGTGATTCCAGACTGGTGAACACCTCATCAACCTTGATACAAAGCAGAAGTGTACTATGCTGTTTATTTTTACCACGCAGGACAAAAACAAACACACAGTTTATGAATTGGGAAGGCTTTCGTTTATTAAAAAAAAAAAAATCTCTCTTGGGTGCCTTCAGGTGTGGGTGCTACAGAGGAAGCAAAGATAAAGCAGACTGGGCTGTGCTTCGGAGGTGCTTATGGTCTTAAAAAGACACATTTATAAAGAGCCTGAAAAGTCTCTGGAAATAGAAATGGATGAACTTGCCTATCGATAAGTCCTTGTAATTTCAGTGCAAAGGAAGACTTCCAATCTAGGAAAGCTCAAAGTGCAACAGCCGAGGAGCACATTCAACTGCAGGCGTCGCCTCGAGTCCTTCACATCCCTTGCTAGGGACAATATCGCAGATAAGCCGAGTCTCCAACTGGCTTCCCAAACCCTGACTACTGATATCAGACTAAGAAAGGGAAACCCTACCGGCGTGAACGCGGAGAACCAGCAAGAGGACCCTCAGAGAAGCAGATCACGTAGACTGGCCACACTCGGCCGGCCGGCGCCCCGGCACAAGGATCCGCGCCCCGCCGCCCGCGCCCACCCCACCCCGGCCCGCAAGGCCGGG